GTTCATGTAGTTTTTGGAGTTATAAATTTTTTTTTTTTTAAATCTATTTATTGAATAATAATACAATCAGCCACTGCTGGAGAGCTATAAGCATTAGGGCTAAAAGTTCTCATTCATACAATATATACAAATAATAAAGAAATAAATATAAATACAAGAAGTAAATAAATAATACTGATGAAGAAGGTAAATAAAAATAAAAATAAATAAATAAATAAAATAAAATAAAAACTTCTAAACACAATCATAACTTATAAAAAAAAAAAAAATAATAATTTTAGCGAGTTTTCCCTTACTTGTCCCACACTGTGCGTAGGAGATGACGACCCTACTCCATGTACGTTAATCGGAGATTTCGGATAAAAAATTAAATTTGTTCATAAATTGGACAATAATACACTTTTTATTATAATTTATTAGAAGTTAAAAAACAAAACTTCGCTTGTCAGACATGATAAAAGATAATTATGTAAACAATAAAAATGACTAGAAAGCTATGCTGATCGTAATCGCTAGATTTCTTTCTATTCTAACAATTGATGGAAGGGAAAAAAATTATATATGTCTGTGTTTATAAACGTGCATGCTAATAAAAGTGTGCATCCACGTAGAGCTGAAAATGCAGTTAACGAATAGCTAACAAAATCATTCTGGTGAGGATTAACGTTATTATTCATCGATTACTTGTTAAATGGTAAAAAGTTTTATTCCATTTGAGAAACAAGCCTGAATCTTCCAATGGACGTTAATTTTTCATTATATTCCTCATTGTGATGTACTAATATCTGTATTTTTCTGGAAAAGCTAAAATAAAACTGATCAATCTGCTAAGAAGAAATAATAGGATATTAGGAATTAATATTTATCAGAAAAACGAATTGAAAACATAAGGAATAACTTTATTGAAATAAATTTGTTAAAAATCATATTAAATAACAAGAGGTTTCCATTTTGATATCAAGAATTGTCTTGATTACAAAATAAAATCCACTTTAATTCTTTTTATAGGAACATTTTAAAAGAAATATACAACTAACCTAACATCTATCACAATAGGTACTACTACATAAAACTATGTTTTCTAATGTTTTAACATCACAGAGACGTAACATTATTTACATAACACAATAACTTATACACAATTATAAATAGAATATTTTTGTATAATTATTTTATAAGACCTGTTATGATTGGTCATAGATTATATTAACTTAAATTATTAATGGGTATAAATCGATTAAAAATAAATAATATTTCACTTATTAATTATAAGCATCAACATTTTTTCTAGGCTTTGCAAAATATCTATTTTACAATAACTGAGGATTGATTTAATATAGAACATTTTCTAGTACAGTAAATTTATCAGTGGAATTTGTGAGAATCTAAGTAGTTTAGTAGGAAAACAAAATTACCATATTAAAATATTTTTTAAAGTTAAAAGACGTCAAATTATTTAATAAATTGTTATTTTTTAAAATAACTAATAATTATTATTTATTTAATGATTAATAATTATTTTTAAATTGGGTTTAGGTAAGGAAATTTTATATATTTAAGGAATTAATAAAAACATTACATAAATTACGAGGTTTTAAAATATTTAAATCGTCGCTGATGAAAAAAACAAGAATATAAAAAATAAATAAATAATAAAAAATAATGATTTAGATCATACTTTTTTCAAAACTAGAATAAATAAAAACTCGTTAAAAAAACTTACGTTGACTTGTAAGAATATATAAATAATTGATAATTTTATATTAAATATACCTTTTTTTATTTCAGAAATTCAAAGTTCGATTAGTTGAATGCTAGTTGAATGTTCACAGATCACAATGAGAATGATCACAAGAGTTATTAATTTTCTCTTTTTTGGATAATATTTACTATCAATCCAATAGATTGCGCCTATGATCATGAAAATATGCAATTTAGGAGTAATTTTTTTTGTGAGTTTAAACTTGGACACTCGGCAGCCTAAGATGCAAGGGACATTACTACGGCGTTCGAGGAAGGTAGTTGTAACAAACGGACCATTCGCAGGTGGTTTGAAAAAAAAAATTACATCCAAAACATTATTGGTTTCTATGTGATGGTCAATGGCAGGAATAATTGATTTCTCGTTATTATCCAGAGATAAAACATCACATCCACATCGTACTGCAGTGATATTGACATAATACCTAAAAAACTTTTCAAAAAACAACCTGCTTTTGTTAATCGGAAGGTAAATATACTCGACAACGTTACCTAGTCCTTCCATGCCCATTTTATTCGCCAGACTTCCAGGAATGCTTCTTTTAGGGAACGCTCAGATCTGGTAGCTATGTCAAAGTCATCGTACTGCTGAATAAGGTGGCCCGTGTTTGGATCCTTGATCTGCGTACTACTCGCTCCACCACCAAATTACAGGGAAGGGATGCAAGGGCATCTCCCTGTCTACCTATACTTGTCTACCTGTCTACCTATTCTAGGTCAGATCCGATACGAACCACGCTGTTCGACCCCAACATGGTCATTCTCACCAGACGAACCAGCTTCCTGGGTATGCCCATTTCTTCTAGCGCCTGGTAGAGCTCAGGTCGGGTTACGCTATCGTACGCAGACTTGAAATTAAGAAAGAGGTGTTGCGTAACCATCCTGTATTCCTTGGCTTTTTCTAGAATCATTCTCAGGTAGAAGATCTGGTCCGTGGTTGACCTACCCCTTCTGAATCCAGTCTGGGAGTTGTCTATCTCTCTTTCAGCATGGGGGTGAGTCCCTCGAAAAGGATGTTTGACATCACCTCGTAGGTACTCGAAAGGAGGACAATACTCCTGTAGTTGTCGCACTCCGTTTGGTCACCCTTCTTATGATGCGGGCAAATAACTCCTTGTTTCCAAACTTGTTGCATCCTTTCTTCTTCCCATATTGTAAAGACGAGGTTGTGGAGTTCCTTTACAAGTCCCTCGCCACCGTAGAGAATCATCTCCGCTTGTATGATAAATAAAATAACTTTATCGATAAATAAAATCGACTAAGGAAACACAAATTAATTAACATTTTTGTTTGGAACCAACATGTTTACAAAGTTCAATAAGCTGTATCGTTGCTAAAAAGAGTCCGATTTGGATGTTTTTTTTATTTTGTTTTTTTCCTTTTGTAGAGAATTTAGTAACCTTTTATATAATCATGGGTATGACCCACGTAAAAGTGTTTAATTTTTTAATTATTCGCAAATAAAATTTGTTTTCTTAACTTGTTTGCCTGAATGTTCAGGGGGATTGGACTATTTTGCGCGCCTGATGGAGAACGAAGCCTTCGAAATTGGTGGCTCAATCTTGAGATTTGGAAATTGATTAACGATGATATGGCTTGCTGTTCAAAAACACCATCGGTAAATAATTTAAACTCCTCCTCTCTCGATCATAGAAACCTCAAAGTCGACGAAATGAGACATGTATTCAATTATAGTACTACAATTAACGTAAGGTTGTGTGAATGCAAACCCTATGCCTTGTGTTATCTCGAAAATAGTATGTTTTTGGGCTTAATGCGCACTATACGGGTCTTGCTGTACGCATCAAAATATTCAAGGTCCAATTTGTCCCCTATCGATCTACAGACCTACCACCGTTCCAATATTGAAGCCTAGCAAAATGTTTGTATTGACTTTATTTATTTTAGAAAGAAAAACAAAAGTGGAGAATACGATTCGCTAACTCCCCGTGAAATTCTGAATCCAACGGTACTCCATTCATGGTATTTGAGCATGACAGGTATATTTGGTACAAAACCGATTTCGAGGCTTACTGTAATAATATATGTGGGGATTAGTGTCGTACTAAATATTTATCGATAGTCTTGGTCAAGGAATAGTTTAATTTGGATCAATTGATGAGTATCAATTTATCAATAGTTTTTGAAGGCTCAAAGAATTTACATTTTAATTTTTAAACAATATGCCCGAAAATATGTATTTACGAAAAATAATAGTGGAATTTCTATTGTGATTTGAATAAATTGAATATTTAGATCAGAAAAAAAGGTACATAGTTTTAAAAATTTGTCTACATTAATAAATTTAGATCGGGAAGTAGAGGGCTTACAATCATCAGTAAGCATCCCAATCCATTTTACCATTAAGGAGCTTAGGTGTTCCTGGGAGATTTATGGGCTCATCAAGGATAACCAAATGTATAAGAGAATGGTTAGAGCAACGATCAGAGCTAGTATTTACGGCGTAAGGTATGGTGCGCAGTCCTTTGGTTATAAAAAAGTCTGGTAGGTCTGGAGATTTGTGTATCAGTTGATATAGTGTCTAATGAAAGCTCGTGGATAGAAGCCCTCAGATTTCTTTCTCTTGGTGTGCACAGCCGTGACCCCCAAAATAAGGCTTCGAAAATAATTGCAAAACATCGAAGGTGTTAATATGTACCTCGGGGGACAATATACTGAAGCAATTGTTATTGTGTGATGTTTGGTACGTAGTGTTAAGCCTGTGGTTTGAATGTCAGGTGTAGTAGGTAAGTTTAAGGGATTATGTGATAATGATGTCTTTATTAGTATTGCCGTACCACCATGAGCTGTGTTGTCCGGATGGTCTGTGCTGTAGGTATTGTAACCAGAAATATGAAATTTAGTTCGTGGTGTAAAGTGTGTTTCTGTTATCATTACGATGTCGATACGTTTTTCGTGTAAATATAAGTCCAATTCTGTCCTATGTTGCATTAGTCCGTTTGCATTCCACAGAAGGATGGTTAGAGAGCCTACAGTTAGTTGATTAATGGCCATTAGGAAGGTACACGCCTTGTGTTATCTGTGGGAGCTTTTGGAGGAGACTAAAAAGGGGCTGAATGAGAGTGTTCAGACCATTCAGTAAATGGAATAGTTGTGGAGACATGCAGTTTTCGGCTGAAGGTGGCGGGTTACTTTTTCCCCTCATGACTGCTGAAGGTTGAATGTTTTGAGGTACTGATGGTGGAGGATGTAGATACAGTTCCTGAACTTGCTGTTGCGTTTGCTTCTGTGTTGGCTGCTGTTGCGCTGGAGGTTGCTGTTGAGGAGGCTTCTGCTTCCGCTTCTGCTCTTGATATGGGCTTTGCGAAGGTTGTGGAAGATCCGGGAAATTTTGAAGATTTACAGAAAGAGGTGATTCCCTCTGGTGAGCATGATTCCTCTTGGTCCTTTGTACCCTTAAATCTCTAAGGGTTTGACACCCACGGTAATTGGCCGGATGTTCGCATTGACAATTAGCGCATTTGGCTGGGGTTTCTCTTGTTTTACTACAAATGGAGCTGTCATGACCTTGTCCACATCTGACGCACCGTGGTGCGTGGTTGCAATACGATCGTGTGTGACCGTATTGTTATGATATGATGCATTGCGGGATGTGTTTCTTCCTTGTAGGTTCTTCAATGGTAACCTTTTTATAAAATAATTTAGTTATTTCAAATATTTTATCATTGTAAGTTTCCTTACTTACATCTACGAAAAACATTGGTAGTGGCCGTTTAAAATGTGAGATGGCATTGTTAATACCTACAATTTTGTATTCGAATATTTCGAGATCTTTTTTAATTTCTTCAATTGGTGTGTTGTAAAGAAGGTCTTTGATCACCACGCAAGGATTTCTATCCTAAGGAAGCTGAAACGTATGAAATTCAGCTCCGCTGTTTTTCAAGCAGTTGGCTATTTGTCTGTAATTGTTTGGGGTCTGGGTGTAAATAGTTACGCCCTTAGAAGTCGTTTTGAGTAAAAAGGAATCTGGTCCTGAATTAGATTGTAAATACGACACAAGAGCCGCATAGTTTTCAACACCGGTGATGTAGATGGGAGGTGGATTCTTTATAGCAATAGATGGTGGATTAGCAGAAGAAGTTTGGCAGTTGTCGTTAGTACTAGATAGAACCTGGAAACTATTGCTAGTAGTTACCACTACTTCCTGTTTTTTCTGTTTCCTCGGGTCCCTGTTTTCAATAATATTCTGTTTTCTGCCAGTTACCAGTTCCCATGCTCCTTTTTCGTTGCCTGCGCACGGGGGATTGTCATAGCAGTCCATTCGAGCCGCAGCTTGGGTTGCCTCGGCCTCCTTCATGACAGCGTCTGATTCCGCCTCACTCACAGGTACTTCGAACCTAAGCTTCAATGTTTAGTTCGCCTGGATATTTAGGTAAAAATAACTCTTAATCTCACAGTTATTTCCAAACATTTTTTAAACGAAAACAATTTTAACTTTTATCTTATATTACATAATACATAAACTTTTTTTTTTATATTACTATTTTTTGTCTTTGTCGTGCATTGGTTTCTAGGTTACTATCAATCAATATATTTAATTTTTTTGTCAGCATTGTGCAGAATAAGAAAAACACAATGCTGGTTGTTATAATGGAATTAAAATATATTATAAGTAACAAAACCAAAATATGCTCAAGTATTTATATTACATAATACATAAACTTTTTTTTTATATTACTATTTTTTTTCTTTGTCGTGCATTGGTTTCTAGGTTACTATCAATCAATATATTTAATTTTTTTGTCAGCATTGTGCAGAATAAGAAAAACACAATGCTGGTTGTTATAATCGAATTAAAATATATTATAAGTAACAAAACCAAAATATGCACAAGTAAATTTTTGCCATCAAAAGCAATTCTGATTAGTTATGTAATAAAAATTATATTATAAGCATATTATTTATAAATAAATAAATGTATAACTATATTATGTAATAAATATTATATTCTAAATTTTATATTATGTAATAAATATTATACACATTCGGATCACAATAAACAGAAGGCAAAACATCGAAAATATCCCTAAAAATATGTAATGGGTTTTGAATATATATATCGTATATGTATGTCATATATTAATATATTAGGTACTTTATTTTCGGACCGAATCTAGACAATCCGTGGGACATAGTGGAGGTTATAATAAAGCCCCTCTTTTTTCTACTCTGATACATTCGTTCATTGTGTATCTGTGAACAAACACTTTTATGCGTACTTACAATACAAAAACAGTTGAGTACCATTTATGTACTGTTAGGTTATTCGCAAATAAAATTCTGTATCCATCGTTACTTTTTACCGATTTACTGAATTTTTACTGAATACATCGTTAATTCATTGGTATAATTTCAAACATATTCAATATATTAAATAAGTTAGGTTTGTTTATATAGAGGGGTTTAATTAAAATTATCCATCTCTCTAAATCCTGTATAGAGTACATTGCCTGAATTGGAATACTTTGCAACACAATGTATTTACATTAACAATATTACTCTATACATAAAGATTGAATTACATTTGTTAAATATATTACGCTTAATTATATAGTAAGTATATTATTTACATGTAGTGGTGATTGCACTATCAGAATATAACTGTGAGGGGCCTCCTAAAGTCATGCGGGGACAGCGGCGGGGGTGGCAGGTAGTAAGGCGGCAAAGGGGACTCTGGTGACTTGGCCGCTTCCGAGCTGCGGGCCGCCTCCAGTGAAGGATACTTCTCCAGCGAGGAGTACTTCTCCAGTTGGGCAGGGTCGTGGTGGAAACCACTCATCGTCCTGTACCTCTCCTCCATTGTGTACCTCATCGCGTCCATGTGGCTCGTCATCTGGAATCAAATTTTAGCGAACACTCAATATGCATAATATAGAGGGTTATTGGAATAAAAATAAAAAAGAATTATTTAAGATACCATTTAGCGTTTTAAGGTATTAGTAAAAAATGAAAAAAAAATCCAAAGCAACCGAGTTGTTGAGTCCATTACATAAATGGAGTTGATAAATAAAATAAAAGGCATAACCTATGGATTCCTTAAATTTGGAGATGAGTAACTTCTGAAAGGCTGTCAAGATTGAAATCCTGTGGAATTATAACAGTAATTCCAATATGAAAGAAAGGTTTTCCAGCTTTGGTGTGCATTAAAGATCTAACAGCTCAATAAATGAATATTAAAAAAAATATTCCAGCAGATTTATTTCGTTTAATAAAATATTTTTAGGATTAATGGCTAAGAATGTGGTATATTTTCTCTTGATTGATAGTGAAACCTTTTTCATTCATTTACATTAGCTACAAGGTTTGGAAGGAATGGACAAGAAACAGCGAGTAGGATTTCAAAGAGGAATCGATAGCTGGTTAGCAAAAGGTAAGGAAATTTGTGTAGGTACACAATTATTTGTTAAACAACAATTCTTCCGATTCCCATCGACTTCCAATTTTTTGCAGGCAAATGGTGCAGGCCTTCTTTTCGTACTGCGACAACATAGTAAGATTACTTGCTATTAAGGTTTGAGCACCATGATTACTTATCACTGTTTACATCAGAGTATAGGTAAGTTCCTAACATTGATGGACATTAAGAAACAACAAGGCCGTTGAGTTGATGAACTCAACTATAAATATATAACTGGAATTCAGTACGTTTCTTTATTTAACGATTGAACCACCGATGCCTCAGTTTATCATCGGCTTTTGGGGTCGATTATCCGCTAGATGTAACCTCATTGTTGTTACTTCTCAATTCGCATTATATATTTTAATTCAGTTTACTATCCATCTCTTTTGAAATCCAACAATTCAATAGGTAAATAATTTGTATGTGTTTTGTAACCTTCCAGAAATGATAATCTTCTGCTGGAATCCAGCAGGCTGTTTCTAAGCTCAGTATATAGCACTGTTCATTGGTGCTGGATTCGATCGATTCTGGATTCTTTCGATGGAATTAGGACTGTGTTTTGGAACCACACCTATGCAAGACAGTCATGAAATATCTGTGTAAAGAAACAACTACAAGAGACTAAGTGCAAATGAAAGGAGCAAAGAGGCGTTAAAAGTATTTACGGTGAGCACAATCCTGGGGATTGTAAGTTTAAGAGCGAAAAATAATGGAATCGAGTCAAACAGGAAAATTACAAAGCGACCGTCAAAGGATATCTTATTTAAACTGAAGGCCGTAGAGAAAAAACACTTTTGAAAACGAAGCAGTTTAGTATAGGTATGGAGAAAATTGACAACATTAGATTACAGTCTAAGATAATGATGAAAAAAAAAAACAGTGATAAAATCTATTTTTTATAGCAATATATTTCCCATGTAGAGAATTTATAGTTTCAAAAGGTCTTTTATTTAAGAAATTTATATATTATTATCATTATTGAATAAATGATACGTTCAATTGATCAGACATGCAATAAAAATATTGAACTATTTTGAAAAAAAATAGTTCTTTTGCTAAAGGATAAAAGAATTATAATTCCACAACAAAAACTGCGGAATGTTATATGATTTTATATTACAGTAAAACTTATCAATGGACAATAAAAAACATCAACTAACAAAAAATAAAAGAAGTGAAGAGAGTAAGACCATACCTGAGGTGTGGGAGCTGTAAGACCTTGCTGTAGAGCACCGAGGTGGCTGTATGCCGCAGCTTGGTTGTAGTACGACATCTGGGAGCTGATTCCTGCAACAATAAACATAATCATGTAATATCCACTCATACAAAATTATTTTACATTAAATTTATTTAATTGTTGTAATTTATATATATATATATATATATATATATATATATATATATATATATATATATATATATATATATATATATATATATATATATATATTGTAGTTAGATTTTAATTTCTTAAAAAGAATGAGCACCTATTCCAATAGTCGAAGCCATATCCAATATTAATTGATATTTATTCCAGGGGCACTCTTGAATAAAGAAATGAAAACTTTCTGCTTGATATTATAATCTTTTAATATACTAGGGGGTAGTTCTCTGTCTGCAATATTCGTCAAACTCATTTGTACAGTGTTAAAAATATTTTTTATTTCAATCCACTACTTATTCCGGGGAGCCTGTGGCAAAAAAAGGTCCATATTTCATACTAAGCTTTGTCCTTATAAATTGATCATATCTACAGGCCTAATGAGAAAAATACACGTCTGCAAGCATATAGCCGATGGAATACAAAATGGCGGCCATGTAAAGATAGATAGAGACCCTACATAGGTTGTTAGCGTATATATAGAGATGGCTTGGTAGCTCTATATATATTAGATATATAAAGCTACCAATCTTTTCAATTTATAGTATTTACAATGGCGTAGAAATGGTTGACTGTGATATAATATGAGAAGGAGTTTGTTGAGGGGGGAGTGGGGAGGCAGCGGTCAAATAAATACTAAATTGTTAAAATACTATCATATACTTGGCTTATATAATATATATATATATATATATATATATATATATATATATATATATATATATATATATATATATATATATATATACTGTCTTATATACAGTTTAAGAGCTGTGTAATGACGAATATTGCGAAAAGTAAGTTATTACGTATAGTTTAGAAGTTAATTCATTAAGTTATTATCCAGTAATAGTTATAATATAGCCCGAAAGCTTTTTTTTTCATATGTAACAATAAATACTCTAAAAAAAAAGAAAGATACTAGCTACATATATAAAATGGTGTTTATGTGATTCTTGAAGTCCTATTAAATGTAATTACACGAACAATAACACTTCAAGAGATAATTTTTTGATATTTTTTATCGTAAAACATAGTTACATTTTACCAATTTGGAGGGACTTCAGCCCGAAAACCCCTCCTCCGTAGATCCGCCTGTGATATCAATAAGTTATCAAGCCTTTAAATATTTGAATATAAGATAGTAAATTAATATATATATAAAGAAAACATAAAGTTAATCTTAAAGAAAATTTAATATTAAACAACTTTCTTCCTCATGACTTTTTCGTAAAATGAAAAGATAAATAGTTGGCGAGTCAAATAATGATAAAAATGCGACGCAAACTTTTTTTTTTTTATCGATATTACGAGGACGAATATCACGGAAACTATAAAGTACAGAGAAAAAATCAATATCACCATTTCGATTCCAATTTTTTTCAGCTTTAATTTCACATATGATATTATTCTAGAAATAACGCATAGTTTCATTGATATAAGCGAAAAAGCGAAAGAAGTTAACTTTTTGAATCGTAAATTCAATTTTTCGACTTGAAATCCAGGAGTATGGGCTAACTGACTATTATTTCATGTCTTAAGATTGTAAATACTATAAATTGAAAGAATTGATAGCTTTATATATCTATAATCCCTCTCTATATATACGCTCACAACCTATGTAGGGTCTCTATCTTTCTTCACATGGCCATCATTTTGTATTCCAGCGGCTATATGTTGGCAGACGTGGATATTTCTCATCAAGTCTGTGGATATGTTCAGTTTATAAGGACAAACCTTAGTGAGTAATATGACAATTTTTTTGCCATGAGCTCCAGGACTAAGTGGAGTTCCTTACTAATCAACTTTTATACACACTACTGTGTATGTTATTTTCATTAGGAGCAGATTAAAATTAAAAATGTTTCCGAACTCTATGAAATAGAACACAGAAGGTCTTGAAAAATTAATATATATGATTATTATTTTACAGTATGATTTTATTAAATAAAATATTGCTTCAACAATCATTGTTTGATTCTTTTACCTTGTCTATTATTGAAAATTGTTCTTCGACTTTAGGTCGAAGTTGGCGAACCGAAGACAATACCCTATTGTGAAAGAATAACATCTCAGGGAGGAGGCCTACAAAAGGCAGGAAAAGAACGTGTCTCAAGAGAGAGCAAAACCGAGCGGAAATAGATTTAAAGGTTAAGAGTAATGCGCACGGGCGTCCACAGACACAGGAAAGGCAACTAAAGTGTAAATAAGCAACAGTCTACAATGCTACTATTCGGGAAACGGACAAAGGTGAGAACAAGAGAAACAAGGAAAATAAAAGAAAACCGAACAGAACAAGAAAAAAAAAGAGAGAGAGCCAAGTAAAAAGTATGACAAAAGGGTTGTAATAAGTTATTTGTAAGTCTTGCCGGGAAGGAGTAGACAATGGATTGTTAGGGGCCTGTATGGGAGCAAATGAGAAGAACAGCCTGTGTCCAGGCAACAATGGCTCTCATTATAAGTTAAAACTCTTAATGGACCGGCTGAGGACAATAGTCAACCACAACTAATGACAATATCGCTTCTCCTCCCAATAATAACATATTACTCACTTCATAGTTTTGTCAAAAGTTCAAAAGCGTCTAGTAACGACCTACTGACCTACTGCCGAGCTGGCTGGATAAGTCTGCCTATCATCTACTTCGAGAAACAATGTCAAGAACCTAAACCCGAAACTAACTGTGTAGTATTCAATACTCACATCTCGAGCATTTCTAGGAGAAACATCACAAAAGACAATAACGCTGAGATCAAATGTAGCACAAACTAGCACCAACTAACTCCATCTAGTTGGAGTCTTGAGTTTAAGAATAGAGTATGGTGACCTACATTTGCGTAATATCATAACGGAGTTATAGTCAAAAACAGTAAATGTATTACTTTACCACGAATTTAAGGGGTAAACCATTGCTGTAGGCATTACCAACATTTTAGCCTCCTTCCTCCAACCCAACTTTCTACTGGCCACTAATTCTAACCATAATCCTGATATTTCTGATTTCTTCATCCACAGTGGTCTAGGTTCCCTCAACTACTCCCTTTCTTGTCTAGATGAATTTTTCTCATACCATAGTAATGCTGACCATAGGACCATAGGAATGCTGGTAATGCTGACATTTTGGAGTTTACTCTTTTATCATCAAATACCTATTTGTAAAGCGGGAGTGTTCTATTCGCAGAGGAGTAATGACAAAGCCATCTTTCCTTGACGGTCCGTAGAATGTCCACTTGTTTACGTTTGATTTAACCAACAATTTCTATTTAATTATTATTACTTTTTTTTTATGAATTTTTATAATCGATCATAATTCCCCAAATTTGTGACATATTGAAATATTTTTCAATAACAATGTTTTGAAAAAGAAAAATCATTTCATTTAAAACCTTAATATTTCACCAACCCTCTAAATCGCTCCTGACAAATTACATCTTGTATTTCAGTATTACGTTTTTATCTCAATTAATTTATTATTTGATTTATTTATTAATTTATTTTTGTATGAATGTGCATCATTCATCATCATTTTTAATCATTGCCCAAGTCTGTGGCAGATTGTAATAATTTTCAATAAACGAATTTTTAAAACAAAAATCTTCTACATTCAGTAGTCGTCTAGTAACATAAATATACATATATAATCAAGAAAGTATGTATTAAAAACATTATATGTATATAGGTAACTATATAATGTTAGAGTGGTCCTTGAAGACCTGTCAACATTAGCGAATCCAGGATTTAGTTTTTTTTTTTGAGGGGGGGGGTGTGGTTCAGCTCGAAAGCTTTTTTTCTCATATATATATAACGATAATTACATTTGAAAAACAGAAAGATACTAACTACCTATATGAAATGCTGTTCAAGTGATTCTTGAAGCCCTATTAAATGTAATTAAACGAGCAATCATACTTTAAGACATAATTTTTTTATATTTTTTACAATAAAACATGGTTAAATTTTACCATTTGGGGGACGGGAGGGGGCTTCAGTCGAAGCCCTTCCGTATATCCGCCTGCGCCTGTCAACATTTTTTTAATAGGGGCCATTTTTTTAGTTTTATATTTTGTTTTAATATACTGAAGTCCAAATCGGGCTTATGACATATAATTTTTCATTAGCTATGGATCAACACTGGAGTTAGGAGACCCTTCTTGGGCACATTTAGTCTTTACTCTTAATTAAATGATTAACTAAGAAGGATATATGGAGATTGACTCTGATCCCGGTACGATCACCTTCCTTTACAATCATTGTGGTCTTGAAACATAAGTTTCTTACAAGTTACTGAACCCAAGACCTTCTTGGGTTGTAGTGGCACAAGTTTTTCTGTATTTTTTCAAAATTTTTTAGACACGTGCTTGTGTGCTCTAGAGACCTCTCTCAGTCAGAGGAAACTAAAGATTTTTTTTTTTTACTATCCTTTAGGACCACTCGAACATTATATAGTTTCTAAGAGTATATATAATATTTGTAATATATAGTTTCTGAATTGTATAGTTTTTCTGGGCACGTGCATGTATGATCCGATGACCTCTCGCAGTCTCCTCTGCATTGGATGAACAGAATGGAAAACGGATTGGATGAAAATCTCCACGATCTCCTGAAGTTCTGCTTTGCCTTTTAGATCTAGAGCTCACAAGATGAACTGAGATTCCTTTAGTGAATGTAAATATTTTTTTAGGGAGCCAAGCGGCTGAGCGGACTAATGTGTTTCGAAACATACGTTTTCCCTACAACGTGATAAATTGAAATTAACATGATTCAATTCTTAAGAGTTCGTGTCCCGGTCGCGAGGGTGAGAGGTTTTACATCTATCATTAATTTCCTGCTCTTTCCCCTAACCTGGTGAAAACCACAAATAGCCGAAATGACGAGGAAGGGAAGAAAAACAAAAAAAAAAGAAGCAAC